CCTCCCCCCTCAAGGGGGCAAAAATCAACACCAGGAGGCCAGAGGCACTGGGAACACTCGTGAAGGTGTCACGCCGCATGTGTAATGCGTAGGGAAAAAAAAGGACATTTGTTTTACTTTGCAAATTCCCGCATTTGTCAAGGAAATGGTCGTGTTTATACAGTGCGAGCATGTTTGATCACGTTGAATGCATGTATAAATATGATTTAAAGAGAGGGGGGGGGGTGCATTTTGAGAAATGTACAGTCTTTACAAATAACAGGCATGCATGAGAAAAACATCATGAATATGCTGTAAATATTGAGTGATTGGACACAATTCTGGACAAAACTCCCTTGCGCAGTGCACATTTGAAATGCACTCCCGTACACCATTTATCAACCTGACAGCTTAGATTTGCCGAAACCTCACGTTGAAAATACATCCAATTCAAGAAGCCTTTGGTTAATTGGCACTTGTCGGGCAGTTGAATACTTTTGCAATAAAGCTTAATTCAGTTTTACAAGTAGCTATCTGTTGTTAGTTTTCTTGTATCCTACTACTATTTAAATATTTTACGCCTCAAATTTCCTGGATGGCTGTTGGCTGGGCTCCCTCCCCACCTCAACAGTAACTCTGTGTTGTTCGTGGCTGCTGCGGCCCATTGCCAGTGAAACTAGCTGGGTAACTGGCTACACGGTATTTTACCATTTGTAAGAAGTGAACGTTGATTGGAAATGAAATGGCAAAAGACGTTCTGAAGACAGCCAGAGATGGCGATGCAGTCATAGACAGAGGTGGGAGGAACACATACAGAAAACAGGGCACGGTTCATCTTCTTGGTTCTTTCGGTAAAGTCACGTAGAATGTAAATAATAAAATAATAAACATAAAACATAATAAAATAATTCTCACGACGTTTCGGCCACAACGCAAGCGTCTCCCCAACAGACCTGGTCTTCACCTGAGGACGGTTGCTTGCGTTGTGGCTGAAACGTCGTGAGAATTATTTTATGATGTTTTATTTTCATTATTTTATTACTTCCCTTCTACGTGACTTTACCGAAAGAATCAACAAGATGAATCCCTGCAGTCACGAAAGCTTTAAATCTAAAAAGGGCCACGGTTCATTTAAAATTGCTCTAACTTTTCAATGTATGCGCCTATCAATGCAAAACTTTCATGAGAATATGTTTAAATCAGAGATTAAAATATATATATACAAAAACCTCACATTATTATCTTCGGATTTTATTTCTTCATAAAAAAGCAGATTACTTTTAGTGCTCCGAGTACAGAGTATGAAAATGACATATGCCTCCTATTTTCCGTTGCAGATTACCGGGTTTCTCTGTCAGTTATATTTACATCTTTTGCAATACATAAACCTATTATTGTGTTGGTTTGGGGCCTCATGGATATATTGTTATTATTTGTTTAACGAGGCTGATTTCTGCTGGTGAGATGCAGAAGGTCGAAACCGTTCCAGAGTTTTGCTTGCTGAAACAGAAGTTTCTGGATATAAATCGGGTCTGCAAAGCCAATACGGCAACCACTAAGCCATATTCTATTTCTGGGTGTAGATATAGGGTGCTGTTTATAAAACATTTCTTATACACAGTCTATGTTTATTTAATTATTGGATGGAAAAAACTACATGAGGCTTTATTTTATTTGAAATGACGGGCCATCATAGAATTGGTGATGTCGTTAGCTGCAAAGAGAGCCGTGCAAGAAACAAATGTTGACGAACTGCCTTTGTTTGTTTTACTTTCCCCCAAAAATATAGCGGCTAAATAAACGTACTGTGATTAAAAGTGCCGTACGGTAAACGGTGCCCATGCACGTTTGCTTTATAGTCACAAGGATATTGAGAGAAACCAAGCACACAACCGTCTCGTGAAACTCACTTTGGCAGCGAGGCGATCGTAAGTAAATTTGATAATATCCAGCTACGAATGCAATAGCAAAAAAATACTAATTTTGGAAGTTTCTATTCAATGTTTTATGAACCCCCCCCCCCTTAAAAAAACTCCACAAAAGCCAGCATCCCGTGCTGGCGGGCTTTTAAAAAATGCATGAACGTACGCCGGGGCTGGCATTGAAACCGACTATGGTTACGTTCCAAAAAATGCCACAAGCACGTGCGCGATGATAAAAAGGAGCACAGATAAAGCCACAGTGACGTTAAGTGAGCAGCAAGTAAGCTCTTAGGGCATCGCCAATCTCATGCGATTGTGTACACGTTGTTGTAACGTTGCAGTACGGAAGGACGTTACTCAGTGTGAACAATGAGAAAGCTCTTATCACACGTATATCACAGATCCTCATAAGCAGAGGACTTAAAGAGATATTTTAATGCGATATCAGCAGAAGCTCAAGTTCACAAAACTCTATTGTGCTGTGCTCCTAGAAACTACATTACCCTCTAATTGTGTTCCAGCGAATGCTACTGGTATTACATAAAGCTCGCATTCGCCAGGGCCATGACCTCATCTCTAAAACATTTATTGAATCTGGACACATAAACGTGTACACGATCCACCCTTGTTTTATTTTAAAAGTGAATTCCGTGCAAGTTTACGACAATGGTTGAACCAAGAGTCCAACTTTGTTGACAGGTTTTGTTTGGTTGGCTTCGCGGTCTAACAATTCTTAAGCAACTTATCCAAGACCGTGAGACCGATGTGTGTGTGTGTATGAGATCGGTCTACAACCAGCAGAGCACAAACCAGTTTCAATTAGCCTTTGCCACAGATAACTTTAGCCCATGCCTTGTTTGTTGTGGTGCAGTATTTTGGCTGTAGTACATTTGGAATCTCAGATGCTCCTTAACACTGTAAAAGTAAAATGGGGGAAAAATATATTCATGAACAAAAATACAAAATATGTCATGTTCTAAACCTGGGGCCTAATTTTATGTTAATTATGGTTTTCATATTCCGAGACAATTAAAAGTGAGAGTAAGCTATAATGTTATTAAAATACGCGTGAATTATGCGAAATTCGTACGCGATTTAAAATGCACAAAATGAAAATAACTAATTATTGTAGTTGATTGCGAATATCCTGTGGTTATTATTTTTTCCCAAGGATTTTAGACAAATTACATGAAGTCGGCCTCGCGGACCTATATGTAAAGCATCGTTACATTTGCAAGAAATGTTAATGCAGATTTTTTTCTTCTGCGAAATGAACGGGAAAAAAATATCCATACATTTTAAATGGAATACGCTAATGGGGTTCGAAAATTAATGCTCCAGTGTTGAAAAAAATATTCCTCGGAAAAAAATGATGGGGGATTGCTTTTATGCCCTTAATTTATGTAACACTATAGATCTGATGTTGGCATATATTTAAGAATGAGGAAAAGATAGATGAAATACATAAAAAACAGCCAAGCTCAAAAAAGGACCATCTTAAAAGTGTGATATCTACCAAAAAGGGTCAAGTTAAATAAAGCAGCATGCTCTGCAAAGATGTAATAACAAAGTACGGACTAATTTGGGGCCTATTTTTTTTATTGGAGCAGGACTTTGTAGCAGCATCAATGATAGAGTTGGCACGTTTGCCCAAAATAGTCTGGTCACTTTTACTTTACATTTGTCCAGAAACTTGCCATCTTACACGACTCGGCCCTTTTTGTATTTGTACAATCCTTTCTGTGATATTTCTTCGGCTGTGATTTTTTTCCCCCCTCGGAAATGTTTCAATAAGCCATTTTCCCTCCACATGTTATATCCGAACAGTAAACCAACTTAATCATTCTTCCCACGAGTTAAGGCATTGTGGCAAAAACTTTTATTTTTACTTTCTCACCTTATGCGTTTAATGTTTTAATTCTAATTCCCGCAGGCTCTCTGCGAGCTGGGTTGCTCCTTACTCGTTGGGGGTCAGCGACGCAGTGATGCAAATGCGTCACTTAAAAAACAATAAACACAGATGCACACACATCCTACATTTTCATCCCCGCACAATTTTAGCAGAATTTGTATTTTTTTCATCCAGACATACCCTCACTAACATCATTAGCATGGATGACTGCGGTCTGACTATACCTAGATATGAATATTTTTGTTTTTAACTGCGACAGGTAGAGTGCTGTGCTGTACCCCAGTGAAGCTGGCATCTTGGTGAGGACCATCACCCAGCTGTTTGGTAAGTGACGGGCACACACGAGAGCCCCGTGAGAATCATCAAAACTATGATGGCCACAACGTGTGGAATGCAGAATCAACAGAGAAGCAACTAAAGCCGTCGACAAGGACACAACCTTCTTGGTTCTTTCGGTAAAGTCACGTAGAAGGGAAGTAATAAAATAATAAAAATAAAACATAATAAAATAATTAATGTGTTTTCTTTTTATTATTTTATTACTTCCCTTCTACGTGACTTTACCGAAAGAACCAAGAAGATGAATCCCTGCAGTCACGAAAGCTTTAAATCGAAAGGACACAACCGTTAACCTGACGGAAAAAAAATGTCGCTATCCAATTCAGTTTGTGTTACGTTAAGAAGGAAGACGTGGATAAATATTGGATAACATAATGAGGTTAAATACATAATTAGATACACAACTCAGAGCTGTTTAGCAAAGTAAGTAGGCTTGGATAAGACATGTGGCTAGAACGAGGGGATGACGGCCGATAGTCAAGAATTGTGACGGAGTGGCAGCCAAGCAAGGAATGAAACGTTTCCAAGAACATGTCCAGCGAGGAGATGGAGCACTTAAATCAATTGGTGACACATTTGGGAGGCCTTCATCCCGAAGTAGATGGATCATGGCTGATGACGATGATAATTATGAATTTAGATTTTTTTGTACATCTACATCAGTATACATTTAGTGCTGTATTTGTTTAAATGGCAAAAGCATCAGAGAAAATGTACCTTTAAATAGCACTCACCCACCCACACACACACGTTATTTAATATTAATAATAAAATGATTGACATTTCATCAGACGCGTACTCGCCGCAACAGACAGTGGTAAATGACCCCACGCTGTGCTCAATCTCACCTCCGTCATTGTCCTTGCCATCCTCGCAAGCGGTTTCCATGGAGACGTCGCAGCCTGCTCCACGCCAGCCAAACTCGCACAGGCAGTGCCAGGCCGATGCCTCCAATGCACAGCGCCCATTGCCGTTGCACATCCCGGGGCAGCCCTCTGCAAGGAACGACACGGACACACGATGTGATATATATCCTGGCCCGTTCACCTATCGGTCAACGAGTCAGCAGAGAGCCAGAGTGATGTCCTGCTCACATGAGCATCGGGGCGTTTGCTCATCCAACTATTTTCACGCACTGAGCTAGTGCTAGAAATTCCACGTTACTATGACGGGTGCGAGTCGTGCCATAGGGCAACCACTGTTGACTTTCCCATGGAGTGGTGCTAAGTTTATTTACCTCCAACCAGAGTTTTAAATAACAACCTGCCGATTGTGAGATACTGGGTCTACCACTGAGCCACCTGGCCAGCGACTTTAAGTGCGTGTAATGTTTTCTCTGAGTTCGTAAGAAAATTTTCCCGATTATAAGGCACAATTTTCGCCCGTTTATATTTAAAAAACAAATCTGGCCAATGTGTTTTATAATCAGGTCGGTGTTGGGTGACCTGGTTTGTACAACTTTACTGACACTGGGTACACGTTTGTGGTGCATCTAATTCAAGGAGCATCTTATAATCCAGAGAATACGGTATTGCTGCGGATATTTGAAAATCAGTTGACCGAGCCAGATTATGTTTTTTGGGAAATGTTTCTTTTATTTAAAGTTGAAATGTACATTTGCGCAGAGATTTTAAAAATGTATTTATCCTGTAACATGGCGGCCATTCTGCTCCGATTTTGCTTTATTTTCCTTTGCTGTGTTTAGGTTTTCCTGTCCCTGTATGTCATTTCGCTGACCCAAGTCAACTCTTGCAAATGGGACTCCATCCTGTTCTCTCCCAACAAAATAAACTGAAACTAAATAAACTATAAAGCGCGCACTTCACCACTAGGGCAAGAAATGCCCAGGCATTGTACAGAAGAAACCATACATGGAGCAGACATTCAAACGTCCAAAATAATCCATTTATAGATACCCCGGTAATATAGGGAAGTATTTCACGAGGATAGGTTGTGATCAACAGCTGTTAAGCATGGCAACCTGTACGTACAACACATTCTACTTGCCGTATTCAAGTTCCTACTCTGTTCGCTGTCTATCTTTTAAATGTTTAATCTCGATATATGCCCTCCACTGTACGGAGATACTCTGTCAATATTTCCTATGTGCACATGCATACTGTGTACAAACATAACAAGCGAGATAAGGAGACGAAAATGTCTCCTTCACGGATTCGTCTCGCTACGTAAACAAAAATCTTTTTGGTTTGTTCACACACTACCCATTGGCCCCACGTCCCTCTGGGGAGTGCCCGAGTTCAGTGGCTACCTGTGGTGTAGCCGTGGCCCGTGGCAGACGATAGGACACATCGTCGAGGACTCTGTCCCGCTAACCAAAGCTTAGCGGCGGTCTGAGAACACCGCTTCGTCCAGCAAACAGTAAGGCTGCTGGCTGGCTTTGCGCAAATGCACGCGCTAAATACATAATGAAACATTGTCCAGTGCTGCTGAATGCTTTGTTTTTTTGTGAGACAGAGATACATATGAAGGAGACATATTGTCTGTTTATCTATTTTGTTATTTGTACGTATGTGTACGTGAGTCGTCATATGTTGGACGACACTAGGTTCCAAGAATAGATGGTTGACAATTCCACATTCCTGTTGCTCGGATAACCACGGTTCGGCCTCCGTCACGAGGGATTGTGTTGGGCTTGAACTGGCAGGGAGCCTGGAAGGACATATAGGGAAAGGAGCTCGGAGGTGATCCAGCTGAGAGGAGGTGCACCTCTGATGTAATGCTCCCAATGCCACTTGCAGTGGACTGTGCATGGAACATCTCAGTGGAGGCTCCCCAAGATCAAAGGCTCCTTAATTTCTCCACCGAAGATGGGCTCCGGAGCAGGTCGGATGAGGCGCCACACATCTTGACGTCCGATTACAGTGACAACACCAAATCTACGATTCGCTCCGTCACAAAAAACGTGACATTTCCCATCTTCCTTCCACGTTTGTGGTTTTTTTTAGCTGTACTGCCAAAAATGCGACATTAAGCCAACAACTGAGCCACCTTTTCAATAGGTTATTCCATAAATCATTTAAGTGAATATGCTTTATCTAATGTGCATCTCCCAGTTAGGAAGCAGAATCCGGGCGCTTAAAATTCATCCTTGAAATAGCATTGCATTGTAAGCGTAGGTCACATCTGGTAAATTATTGAGTAAATGTGTCGCAAAATCTAACTTTTTTTTCTCTACCGGGAATGCATTTCAATTTGTGCCAATAATTTTTAGAAGTAAATTTTTTGCCTCCTGATGACCATCGCTTGTGTTGTGATCGAAACGTCATAGTTGTTTGTTATTTTTTGTTATTTTCTTTGAAGCTATCTACGTGACTTTACCGAAAGACCCAAAGAATATGAATATGAAATCGAGAGCGTTTTTTTTTTATTTTATAATCAGGGTAATTACATTTTGAAATTATTTTGAACTTTAATCCTAAAGAACACCACACATGCAGTGGAATAAAAAAAAAATCTATATATAAACAAATTGCAACAGTTGAACCCTTTCAAATTATGAAAAAAAAACGAAATTGAATAGCAAGCTACCAGTAATATACATTTCAAATTTCTGACCCAATTAGCAGCTCGAAAAGTCACGATCACTGAATGTGGCACGCGCTTATCTCTGTTACACAGCTTGCGTCACAGCGAATGCTGAGCCTCAGAAGCACGAGGTGCACAGTTTGGGGGTGAAATGGCCAGCAGAGAGAGCACGCGCGAAATATCAGCCCAATATATAATGAATGAATGTATCGTCTATGCATGTTGATCTTCTTTCGTACCGCACGTGGCCAACCGTGCTAATTGGAGGTGCGGGGAGAAGGTGAACAAACTAAAAGCAAAAAGCATTTCTGAAAAAAAATTAGTTTTCAATTTAGATTTCAAAATGCACAGCCCCCAGTGGCTTCCTAATATTGGAAGGAAGAGCGTTCCAGACGGCCGCAGAAGCGCACTTGAAAGCGCGCGATGCAGTGAATCAACTTAATACAATTTACCTCAGCTACAAAACGTTTCACTGCTTTTGAGTTCGCTGTAAATATTAAACAAATTGTCATGGTTTAAAAGTTTCACCGATTGTGAGCGCAAAGTTGTGTTTGGGGGCAATTTTTTTTTTTTTATTATAATAATAGCTGACTCGCTTTTTGAGTTTACGATTTTGATTAAGTGATTACATGGAATTATGAGGCTATACGTTTGTCCCTCTGGGATGAGTGGTGCAGAGTTGCTACATTTGTTGACACAAGAGGAATATGCAACACTTCAACCCTCAAGACAGGCACAAACCACGGCGACTTTGCATATTTTGATGCTGTGACTAAAAATATCACCGGATAAAAAAATCATCCCACAACACATTCACTTATCGCAAAATAAAAAATTTACCCGTGACCATGAGAAGTGAATGTTTGCGAAAGCATTAAACAGCAGGTGTGCATAGTTATTTTGCAAATGGGAGATGAAACTACTGTGTGCTGTGTGTGCGTATATGTCTGTGTGTGGGGAGTAGTATTGTAGCAGTTAGCGCGCTGCACTACGAACCTGGCGACCCGGGTTCGATTCCCACTCACGGCCATCACCAGTGACGATTATTTAAACAGGTCCTGGGCCTCCACTAGGTCAACTCTGCCTCAAATAAGTACCTGGTGCGATGTGTAAACATTGCCACTGGGAGACAAAGGCGGCCGGGAGTGGTGTTGGCAAACCCACCCCCTCGTGTACCGTGCCAGCCTTCATAGGTGCTCGCTAACAGCACTTGCCCCAACAGTCTGTTAAGGCTATAGGGGGGTCTTTGTCTTATATGTATGTGTGGCATTACCCTGAACATCATCGTATGGAGGTGAATGAATGGAAATGAATCATTCCTCAGATGGGTTAGCATCGCTGGCAAGCATGTCACACATGCACATGCTTTTTAGATTTAGAGGCAAAATCCCTTTAAATAATCCTATAGGATATCGAAACGCAGTAACAGAAATTTAGAGGCTCTGCTCAACATTTAAAATCCCTGTCAGGCTGCATGGACTCTCTTTAAAATCTCCATTTTTAATGCAACTGCAAATTGTACAAAGAGTAAAAGACCAGGGCATTACATGTCCACATGCACACACGTGTGTAAGGGAATCGCTAATTTTCCACTACTGGTCTCGAGGTATTGGTCAAGATTCCAAATTTAAATGGCAGGAACAGGCATCTCTACAGGGCAACTAACTCATAATCGCACTCATTGTATTGACGCCCTCAGGGAGATTATGGTCTTAGCCAATCCCCCAACAGGGATTTTAACTCAGAACATTTGTGTTTATTGAATATAACATGACATCCTATAGGATTTTTATTTTGTCTGCAAGGGAGAAAGGTAAAGAAATCAAATAAAAAACAGGGACAACCAGTAAGGAAGCGTTAGCACGAAACATACCTTCAACTATCTTATCCTGATAGTGAGCTTGGGAAAGAAAGCAAAAATTAGGGGAGAGTGCTGGGACTGTGACATCCCCCACAGAGCTGGAGTGTGGACGGACGGGGTGGTGATGGGGGGAGGAAATCTATCATGCAGAGGGAGACGAGAGAAATAAAATAACACAACTGCAGGACCTCTGTATCCTCCAACACCGTGCGTGCATGCGTGGATAACCAAGGTCCCACACCTCCGGCCCAGACAGCCAGGCAGCAGCAGAGTCCACAGTTTGGTATAGAGGAGATCTATGGTTGGGGTTCAGTTGAGCTCAAATGAGAAACGATTTTAGGGGATGTAGTTCCCCCTCCCCCTCCCCCCCTGACGACTACTAAACACACACACGAGAAAAAACATGCAGTTCTCAAATCAAGGTATGGGCAAGATCAAATTAGCGTTTGGAAAGAGGCATGCTTGGTGGGGCTAGAGTTTTTGTTTTTCTTTAATCAGTTCACCGTGTTTTAGATCAGCACGACTGAATCAAATAAAAACAAAAGGTGAATGGGTGGGGCGATTAGAAATGCGTCTCGGGCTTGTCTTGTGTTGTGGGGCGGCTATTGTGTGCACTCATGGAGGCCTGGGGCAGGGAAAACCATATCAAATAATGGATAAATTCCAAGTACATTTTAATTATTCATTGCAGCCTTAAAAAAAGTGTCAGTATTCATTAAGCTCTATTTGACCCGGGTTAAAAAACTAAAAAGAGGGTATAGCGATCTCGAGCAGTTCAAAGGGCACCAATAGCGAGGGCCCGACAAGTTCACGCCACGAAAAACCGGCGGGCGTCAAGAAACGCTGGAACCACCGCGTCGACGTTCATGTTTTTAATTGCATCAAAGAGCCAATTGACCTTTAGATCGCCATGCCTCTCCAAGTACCAATCTGAATAAAATAAAACTAATTAAGTTAAATTAGAAGGCGATAATGACAAAATATGACCTTTTCTTACATTCAACAGATGCAATTGGTTAAGTAAGAGCGTTGTTTTCTACTTAACCCGAAAAATATCATGTTTTTGTATTTTAAAAAGATATTATAAAAGGCTCTGCGATTGCTTCATTTGTGCCACCGCTGGCAGAAAGGGCATTGAATGAGTGGGAACTCCAGAGGATATCTGGTCTACTCGACCACGCTGACCCAGGTGTTCTGGACAAGATAGAAGTGCTCACACTTTAGCCTCCCCCACTGCATGCCTTAACTGTGGTGAACCCATGAACATCATTTGGTGAACAGAGGCTGTGGGGGGAAGAGGCACAAAACGTGCTCATTGTTGCAACCGGCCGCACCAGGTGATGAAATTGAACCGGCGACCTCGAGATTTCGAGTCCAGCGTGGTAACCATTACACAACAACAACAGCTATGTGTGGTGGATAGCATTCTATTTCAGTAAGTGTCAGCAGTGGTAAGAGTGGCTTAAAGGCTTCCTTAATTGCTTAACTAGGCTGCAGCCTACTGCAAGATGAACATCTTTAAAAGTATTGTCGTCCGAAAGTTAATCGCGGGCTTCTTAATCTTGAGCGAGATTTATCTGCTTAACTCAAAACAGTTAACTTTGTAGAGCTACAAATGTAATGTCCAATTATACGTTGCTTTTGTATTGCAACATTTCTTATTAATGTCGTCCAAATTCATTATTTCCTAATGCATTTGTTACATCAAAATTCTACCTTAAAGCAGTTATTTGCATGGGTGCTCCTACTTCTTACAGGGTGGAAGAGAAGGCCAAATACAATTTGTTGGAGAGGCTCTCTATAGCGCCCTCTCGTGGAGGCACTTATGCAGCCAGTAGTGTGTGGAAGCACTTGCAGGGCTGCACCTGTACCGTTTGGTCCAAAAAACAAAAAACGTAACCCTTTTTTCTTACAATATTTTTCATTAAATGTTATGCAGCTTTACCAGGTTTGTTGTGGCCATTGTTTTCCTTACAAAATTTGCATGCAATGAAATAGGGTTACAAATACCTACTCTGTAACCAATAAGGGGTACCATGATCAAAACACAGTCGTTTTATATGGCTGTTGTAGGGGCCACATGATGTGCGGTATAATGAGGATGCAGTGCAGGCCCCTTGACCTTCCATTGGCAACTAAAGACAATCATTCGGTTAATTAAACTGCATCTGCACTACTCCGCATCAGCTGTCCCCCAACCCAGGGTCACGACCCAGAGGCGGGGGTCACGAGGGGTGGGTTCAGAGGTCACAGATGTCACGTGAATAACTGAGACTGGAAGCGGGCATCGATAATGCTACTGTGCATGATTTTGATATTGGGAAATGAAAAGGTGAATCGATGGAATATTTCGCAGAGCGTGAAATCAATTTTCTCGGTGCTGGCGAGTCGCAGAATGGCCACGGACATGGGCACTGTGCTGATTGGAACTCGCAGGGAATGCGCTCTTGAAATCATATCAGCACACGTGAAGAAGTTAATATAATCCACACATTACATTACACATTCCCGACAATGCTTCCTGCCAACCGTCAGATGTCGTTGGCAAAAATAAGTTGTGAAAGGGCCGTGCATCATGTATATTATAACGTTTCGTGTGAAAATGCATTTTTTAAGTGCACCATAAAACAATCAAAAATATATTTATGGAGCCGGTAACACGTGTCTATTTGAGTCACGTGTTTCTCAAAATTGTTTAAAAAAAACAATCACGCGGAAAAAACTAAATGATGGAGCGTAAACACACGAGATAATGAATGTGGACCAATTAAAAAGTGCCTTCTTATGCTGGTTATTTTATAAACCTGTGTTGAATTCTGCTATGAGTGTAAAGGTCAGCGGTTCTTCAGTTTCCAACCATGTAAAATGATTTTGCCCTTTGCAAAAAAGGGTAACTTATTTTTACAAAATATAAGCAGACAATGGATTTGAATTGCCATTGACTATAACGTGTCGATATATCTCATTTCACTGATCCTGTCATTGTTAGTAAGGACATCATTGATCAAAAACATGACTGCTTTGAAGCACAATATTTTTTTTAAACATTCATTAAATGTTTTGTCCTTATTACTTTCATTCTCGGCAGATGGATTGCATTGCCAGTCAATATTAAGCAGTATGTTTATTGTGTTCATGGAAACCTATCATTGCTGTAACATAATGCATTTAATTTAAACACAGGATGTCGATAAAAGTATCATCCATTACTAAATAATAGTAACACTAAGACAGATGTTTGAGCTAGGTGGATAAAATTACACAAATAAAGACAAATATCTCCTGTATAGCCTCAATAGGCTGTGAGGGCAAGTGTTGCAAGTAAACACCTATTAAGGCTGGCATGGCACTCGAGGTGTGTGTGGATCAGCACCACGTCCGGCTGCCTCCGTCTCCCCCAGCGCTGATATTTATACATCACACCAAATAATATTTGTTTAAGGCCGAGTCGACCTAGGGGAGGCCCAGGACTGCTTCAGATATTCGTCATTGATGTTAATCGTGAGCTGAAATCGAACGCGGGTCCGCCGGATTCGGAGTGTGGTGCACTTTAACCGCTGTGCCACCATTCCCCACAGATTAGATTGCACACACCACATGGAGTAGTGTGAACATTTAATTGTACAAATCTCATCCCCTACTAATCCTCCACGTGGTGGCCAGGGCGTCAGCGCTAAGACCCATCGCATCGAGGGTTTGCAGGAGTCAAAGGAGCTCAGCAGCATCTTGGCTGTGATCATCTTGAGACCATTCCATGATGTTGCTGGCGAAGATCAATCAAAAGCTCTTTTTGTTTAAAATACGTAAGCATGTCAGAAAGATGTTGCCGGCATTCCAACCACACAGTTTAAGCACGCTGTCAAATTATAATTTTTTTTTTACAATGGAAGAGACATTTTTAGACAAGTTTGTATTTTGGCTCGGCGACTGTAATGAATGTGGAGCAGGGCAAAGGCACAGGTTTTTTTTAAGTTGCCATTTTTCACGATTGTGAGGAACATGCCAACCGCTGCTCGAGGATTTCTCTTTTAAGTTGACACGCCGCACATTTGTTCATATTGCTGGTCATATTGTTCTCCGAAGTGTTTTCTGCGCCGAGTGCCGTTTGGCAGGATTCCAACGATTTGCTCAATGTCCGACGTTACGCCTAACAATGCATGCACGTGTGTATGTTGAACTTCTTTCACATCGTACGTAGCCAACCATGCTAATAAGATGTGCGGGGGGAAGGACAACAAACTAAACACAAGAAGCAGTTCTACAGAAATTAGTTTTCAATCTAGATTAAAAAGAACACGGCTCCAGCGGCTTCCAAATATCGGAAAGGAGCGTGTTCCAGACGGCCGTGTGATGCGGTGACCATCTTTGTCCAATGGCCAGTCAAAAGCCGCTGCTGCCGGGGAGGATGAAAGTGCATCGGAGAGCCACGCAGCGCGGCCGTGAAAACCTACGTGACAATAACACCAAATATGAGCCGGTTTGCCCTGCAGACTTCCTTTTGGTTTGATCCGCGTTGTACTTGGTCTCAGGTCACATTGGCGCGGGGGAGCGAGCGTGCGAGTCCCGGTGTACGTACCGATGGTGCAGTGCTCTCCGTTCCAACCCTGGCTGCACTCACACGTGCCGTCCCGGCAGATACCGTGCTCTGCACAGTTGGGATGGCAAGCGCGTTGGTCGCACGCCACGCCACTCCAACCCTCCTCGCAGCGGCAACTTCCCATCACGCACACGCCGTGGCTCCCACAGTCCAGGGCACACATCTCTGCAACACAGCAGCCAAAAAAGGAATTATTGTTTTACCCCCTTCATATATATTGCAATTTCCCCTCCACCCACCAACAACTTCTGTCCACCAAGCAGTTGGGTGTGATGGGGTAAAATGTGAGTACTCCCGCCTCTTCCAAGAGGTCTGGTCAGTATGGAAGAGTAGGCCAAATAACGTTCAGGGGTGCTCTATTGAGCTCTCTCAAGAGGAGGCCCATCCACCAGCGCCGGCGTGAGCAAGCAATTCCAGGGATGCACCTTTACCGTTTCTAAATTTTTCATATATTTGGCAATTTAGTATTTTTTCACAATCATGGGACCTCCTTTGTCAGTATATAAAAAAAATAAGAATAGGTTTTACCATTTCTGGAAATAAAACAGGTGTTAAGATTTTTATTCAGACGCTGTCTTTCCGACAGACCTGTTCTTCACCTGAGGACGGCTGCTTGCGTTGTGGCCGAAACGTCGTGAGAATTATTTTATGTTTTATTTTTATTATTTTATTATTTCCCTTCTATGTGACTTTACCGAAAGAACCAAGAAGAGGTGTTAAGATGTTAAAACACCAAACTGAAACCGTTTGCAGACATGATTCTTTGCAAAAGGTTTCAGTTTGGTGTTTTAACATCTTAACACATTTTTATGGCCAGAAATGATAAAACCTATTCTTATATTTTTCACAATTGTATTCCAATTTGTGCCATCACCGTTCGTGGCACGAGACAAAGGGTCCAAAAGCAAATGCAACAACACCATCCCCCACGTGTTCGAGAATGACCCGCAGACGGAGATATGACAGGACTTCTGAGATCCCTTCACATGACCTTTAGCCCATCCTTTTGTGTTTGCCGTATCGTATCCACACCAATAATATTGGTAGGAACCCACTGGTTCCACCAGCACACAGGGGATTATTGTGTCCGTCCGTCGTGCAGGGAGGGGCTGGGTGGGGTGGGAGGGGCTGGGTGGGGAGGGAGGGGCTGGGTGGGGAGGGGAGGGTGGGGAGGGACTGGGTGGGGAGGGTGGGGCTGGGTGAGGCTGGGTGGGGAGGGGAGGGTGGGGAGGGGTTGGGTGGGGAGAGTGGAGAGGGGCTGGGTGGGGAGGGGCTGGGTGGGGAGGGTGGGGCTGGGTGGGGGGTGGGAGGGGTGGGGCTGGGTGGGGAGGGGCTGGTCACCCCATGGTGCCCTTATAAAACTCAACGTTTAACCTACTCACGCCGGCTTGTGCCTGCCCTCACAGTCGGGCATATTTGCGGAATACACCACGCCGCCATTGACCCTGGCCATTGACCGAGCAACCCAACGTTCCTACCAGCTCCCTCTGCAGGAATGTGTTTTTTATTCTGAGAGCTGAATTTGTAGACGTTGTTGCTGCACTTCATAAAATAGCAAAATAAAACAACGTAGCCCGATGATTTTTTTTCACATGCAGTCAGGTTCACTGGACTGAGGCCATCAGCTTGCGACACTTGAGAGAGCTGTGCAATTACAGCCGGCTGCAGATGGAATGAGAAACCCACGATCTCAGCGGTGACCTAATTTAATACCAATTCGTATTCAGATCTTTTCATCTTAATATTGACTTTACTTAAACACATCTTGAGCAAAGTCTTATTAATCGGTTGCAGATTAATCTCAGCGATGATCTGCTGCCTCCTGCGCTTGAAGCCTGCTTTCTCATCAAACTGACCATGGTGCGGTCAACACTAGTCTCGTGCTCTTCAACTCACTCTTGCAATGACACGTATCTGTCTCTCTTGAGTTCTCACCTGGTTAAACAAAATAAACGCAAACTCTTCCGCACCATCAGCCTCTAGCCTCTGAGCATCGTGATTTCAAAGTGCGTAAGGCTACACGCAGCGAGGCAGCTCCACGCTTATCTAATGAAGCCCATAAACATGGCCAGGATGATGCCTCTCTTAGTGCATTTGGTTTACGACTCTGCAAGTCGAGTCCATGTGTAACACTGGGGATATTAACCTTAAAGGACATTGCTATTCCATTCGGTACCATTTAAAATTAAATAAATCTCCTGTAACATCGATAATAAAATAGTGCGATAGAACAGCAGTAGAATATAATCTTCCATGCGCCATGTCAATAACACTAATAAATAACGTTCAATATCGTTATAAATTAACGGGAAGAACCTAAAAGTCACAACGGGTCACCCAAATGGCAGTGATACTAAACGGTTAAATCGGTAATCAAAACACGAACAGTAACATGCAGAACCGACGACTGCACTGAATAACCAAGTGTGCACAAAATGCCACTGCAATTAGTAGCTTGACAGAATTTCCATCGTGTAATTCAGCAACTTTGGCTCAATTATGAGAGCAGGTCTGCGTTCACACAGTCCCCAAAAACTGCCCGAGCCAGAACACGGGGCACAGGTCTGATCGCTTCTCCCTCGCTCCCAAATGCCGGATAAATGGATTATACACTGCATATCAACTCAGGGCCAGGAATTACGTGTGTTCACGAGTCACTCCGAGACCTGCCCTCTTCGTTTGCGTATCGATTGCCTTCGCCCTGTTGACCACAGCATAGGTGCTGGGCGATGACCTGTTTTTTTTTTGTATACAGCGATGATCAATTCAGCAGCGGGAGAGTGAGGCCACGGTCCTTGATTGTGATCAGAAACAATTCCACATCGATTTTAATTAATTCCATGCGATTATGGGCCGATTCCAATTAACAGAACCATGCGCATATCAAAGGTGTACATGTTAGAAAAAAAAATACACCCCTGACCCACGATCATCAATTACCGCTGTCAGGAGCCACCCAGGAATCTATTAGAATAGCACCGTTCAGAATAGATTAGCAATTAATTGTAAGTGGAATCGTGGAAAATTTGCCGGCCTCCAGGAGAGTGTTTGTGTTGTGAGATGGGGTGGGCACCACAAGGATGGGGCCATGCAGAGGTGAATCCATGGCAGTGATTTTACAAGCGCGCCAGGAAGCAGACGCAAGGCTTTGCGTTCGCCCCACACCACAACTGTGTACCATTGCGTGACACATTCACACTATAAATTGTTCAGTTAACCACGGACAGGTTCGTATGAATGACAGTGGGATAGTATTAAACCTACCGCACCATGCCTAATGTAATAGCGAAAGTGCATTGTGCGCAAGCTCGGTCCAAGCCGTTCACACAGCAAGAGCTGAGTAGTTGAATGCGCTGGCCAATGTACCACGAAAATGGGTTAGTGTTCAAGTGCAAATCCTTATCCTTAACTTACTCCATCACTCCTTCCTAATAACGCAAAAATAATTTGCACGTGCCTCTTTCCCCACCATTCCTGCTAAGCACCAAATATTCAACCCACGACGGTCTGTCCGCCGTTACGTGCCGTCACCTGATTCGTCTCTGCCAAGATTTCATCCTGCTTTCCTATTAAATCCCATCGTTACATTTTCCCAGAATGGAATAATTCCCAACTCTACGAATTCCAACAATGAAAGGTTGATGGATTTCACTTTGTTTTTTAAAGGAGACAGAAGCAACTTAGATTGTTTAATGCAATAAACTTTCTGCAAGAGATAGATACAAGTTATTTGCTACCAATGACGCAAACATTATCACAACCTGTTCAAGTTTAATTTTATATAATCATGTGAGAATTTAAAAGACCAGGTTGAGTCTCATTTGGAAAAAAATGACCGGGGCATTCGCCTGCTAGGACACAGCAATGATTGGCATGTATACTCCCTATTGAGTAATTAGCGGTGTAATTTTTTCGAATTTGGCTAAATTGTCGGCACACAACGGCCTATTCTAGCGAATGGCGTCAGGCGATATTTAAAGTCCACTGTGAACGGCGTAGTAATACTAATATTAACCCGCTGGCACACGTGGGATTTTGGCAAATAACAAGAGATACATGCAGAGATGAATAGATATTACAGGGTCAAAGCACCCACTTTCAATGTCCTCCTAAAAGCAGAATAAATACAGAAATAATAAAATAAACTGCACTCGTATCTGTTGTTGCTCTGGCTGGCTGCAAAGACACCGACCCACACGGCTAGGTGATAGGTTACCGCCTAAACAAATGGGTTGCTCCATGGCTATTAAATTCACCTGCATGCAGTGGCTTCGGACCAGAATATGCCAGCAATAATCTGGAAGGCATTACATTTTCGTGGGAGGTAACTTAGAGGTGAGTCCAGCATACGGGCTGTGGGGAAACACGTAGGATCGAAATGGTCACTCGACCATTCAACCGAACAAAAGAGCTCTTTAGAGAATGTATTTGCGCAGCTAGGCGTATTGTTTCCATGCTAAGATACCACCATTAGGCCGGGAAATTAAGCGCAGTCTACAAGCTGTTCGCTCACATTAAATACCCCCATCGCATTGCTCACAGGAGTTGGTCACTGTTTATTAGCGCCGGGAATGCATTAACCCCCTGCTACAGTAACGTTTTTTTCCCCCTACCTACCCACTTAAAAAAAAGCCTGCTCTCGAAATTAGCACCACGTGCCATACTGTTTAGCAATCACGCCACATCACGCTGAGGTCTAACGACTCGCCCGCCATCCTACACGTGCCATTTCCTGAATTGCAAAGTGCCACGCGGTTAATTTAGCGGCCCCCATATCCCAACCGCCTCGTCTTCAAACCACATCTTCTTAAGGCCGTTGATTCTATGTAGCGTTTCTGTCTCTCTTGGCCTTTTTCCTACCCTTATTTTTACTGGGTAGCCTTGAGACATTAGTGGAAGGTGCCTCACAAATAAATCGTTAATGGTTATTAACCGCCTCCAACAGCGACGGCTGTCCTCCTCTGCACGCAAGCCACGGTCGGAAACGCGTCCTCACGGCTGCCGTTGCCGGCAATAGAAGCCGCCGTGGTTGTAATTGGACTTGCAATTCAAATGTAGACATTTCGGGTCCATCTACCGGCGTAGCAGTTTAAACAATCGGCACATTTCTTAAACGCCCCCCACCCTGCCCACGTCTGTATATCCCGGTAATATACAAATTGGCA